ATTGATGAGTTGGCAAGATATTGGTGTTGCGCTGATGAGCGCTGGACTCAGGGAAACTTTGAAACACTTTGTATTCATATTTTTGATAATATAAGCTGTGAAACTCGGTTCTCATCTTCTCTACCTTTGTCTATTATCAGACTACTGTTCGTTGTGTGTGGGAGAACGATGCATGGCATGTACACACTTGCATGAGATGGTCTCCAGGACCCATGCAAATTGTATTTTTGAGAAGTGCAGGGCTCATGGAGGTGGTAATTTTAAGGAGTTCCTTGTTAAGGACACATGGAGGGGAGATCATTTGAGGGACATTCTCTCTCTCTCTCTCTCTCTCTCTCTCTCTCTCTCTCTCTCTCTCTCTCTCTCTCTCTCTCTCTCTCTCTCTCTCTCCCCACACCCCACTCTCAATCCTCCTCTCTGTGTACATTTCCTCTCCTGTTCTAGTTCCTCTCCACCCCACCAAATATCTAGTAGTCTTCTCAGCCTTCACGAACCTTTAACCCCTTGTCAATCTTGTCTGTAATGGTTTGTGATATCAAGTTTCTTCCCAGCCCAGCAAGGATGTTCTAGCCCCCCCCCAGTCCTTTCCCCAGGCTCCTGTAAGCCTAACAGCTTCATTTACAGTCCTACCAAATCTGTATGTTCGATCAAACCATCAGACATTATATGATTATACTAAGCCAGAAGCTATAGGTCCAATGAGACCTGCCCGTCGTGCCCGATCACCGAAGGTTGGCAGATCCTTTCATCAATTCTCATCAGCATGGTCTCAATTATATGCAAATTTTGTAAAAGGCGAACTATGCAGTATGCCGCATATACCTACCTCTTGCCATACAGTATGTTGGTCAGCTCTTGCAGCTCATCATCAGTTGCCAGTTCAAAGGCTCGCCGCAATTCCACATCGCTATCTGCGAGGACCCGTCCAGAGGAAGGGGAAGAGGGGAGGGGCAGCGGCGGGGGGTGGCGAGGAGAGGTGGTAAGAAGACAAAAAGAAACAGTACGCATAGTGAGGCAAAACAGCGACTCATACAAACGTTCAGACACAGATACGCCACAGCTCACAAATTCACAATAAGAATCAGATCTAGACGTAGACAATAAGGGTTAGGCCTTGCCTCTTTTCTACGAAATGGGAAAAAGAACTGAAATAAAAAAAAAATGAACCCTCAGCCTCCCTGCATACTGGCAGGTACAGCGGCATCACGAGCCGGAAATGCTGCCTACACAAACATTCCTGCTAGCACACCAGAAAAGCTCCAGGTTCCGGCCAATATAGTTAAGAAGTTGGAAGGTGCGAAGCGGCTCTTTGTTTTTCAACTTTTTCAGAGTTTTTTCTCTCTTTTGAGGCTTTTCCAGTTTCTTTTAAAGTTGAGCATTTCCGCCAATAATTTTTTGATTTCCTGGATCGAAGAGAAAAAGGTGCTAACGCAAAGTTCTGAATCTTAATTGGGAAATATCGTATACGGCCTTGTAAGATATACTTGGAGAGCCGTACACAATGAAAGCTGCACGCACCGGCACACCATGTGCGAGCAAAGTGCACACATGCACTGCACTCATTCACCACAAATGGTGCATAAAATTCTTTTTTTATTATTTTTTTTGGACCATTTCTCGATTTATGCGTGTCATCCTTGCGCAGGGGCCATGCTAATCTTCTCTGTATCGTTCCAATTTTAACGGATGTCCCGAAGGACAGGTGCATAAAATTCTTAAATAAATCCCAAAACAAAATCTTCCCCACCCACCCCCCTCGCCGCCGACCCAAACGACGGAAACGAAATTCCAAAAATAAATCCGAAAAAGTTGAAAAAAGTTAAAAAAAGTTAAAAAAACTATATGTGGTGTAAATATTGCTTCGAGAAACACCCGTGATGTCCCCAAATCTTAGTTGTTCGATTTATAAAACCAAGCTTGTTCCTGGCCAGCGGCCTAGCTCAGTTGGTTTTGCACGCAAGTGGCATTCACGAGGTCGTGTGTGTTAAATTCCCAACGGCCACCTGCCGCGTGCTCAGTGTTCACCAGCTGAGAGAGATATTTGGCTTGCCTCCCCTGGTTGGGCTTGGTAGGTCCTGCCATCCCTTGCTGGGGGTTGGATAGAGGCTTGCCCTGGGGGCTAGATAGATGATTGTGCTGGTTTAGTCATGTAGTTAGAATCTGTTAGATAGTGTGAAGTATATTTGAGAAAAGAATAATAGAATAATAAGAATATAGCTTAGTTTCAAAAAGAAAAACAAGATTTTTGTTGCCAGCGATGGCCACGCCCATGGCAGATGATGTCCCAAAATAGTAGTTGTTCGATTTACGAAAACAAGATCGATCCCAGCCATGGCAATGCCCATGGCACAACCTTTTTTTTACGTTGGCCATACCCTGTCTTTCTCCCTCCTGTGATGCTGCATGCAAAAAGTTTACTTCCGCATGTGTGTCTGCGTGCATGTGTCCATGCTGCCATGCACATGGATATGTATGCATGTGCGTGTGTGGATGTCCAAGAGTGTGTCTACTATGTATACTGCCACGACGGACCATACAGTGCCGCTATGAGTTGTGTTTGAGAATATTCCACGAGTGCTGCGATGCAGTTGTATGTATTTCAGGATGTTCTGATTGGTGCTGCTATGGAGTTGTGTAACTTGTGTTTGAGGACAGTCCACGTAGTGCTGCTACTGAGTAGTTGTATTGCCCCAAGAGGCGCTGCTATGAACTCGTTTGCGCCACTGTAGAGTTGAATGTGCTGCTACAAAGTTGTGTTCACAAATACAAGTCTGTAGCAGCACGTTCACTGATCGGCACGGCTAAGGAGTTGTATTCAGGAATAGTCCAAGCAGCACTACGGAGTTTATTCAGCCATACCATGAACAATCGTACTGCTATGGACTTGTACTCGGGAATACAGCATAGCGCCACCACTTCCGTAATTATGTCGGAAAGTACTACATGGTTCGCAGGCTGTACTCTCTTCAGACTAAAACCACCGGTACCTCGCCCGGGCAAACTTGAGAATCGAAACTGCATCGATCTAGGTTCTTTCGAACAGTCCTACCGGACCAAAATGGCTGGCAGCGCCAGGCAAAAAAGACATAAAAGTGTGCCGCTGGTGGTTTGTCTCTTTTAGGTGCGCACTGCGCAGTGCAAATCTGCATTCAGAAAACGAGGCTCGGAGGTACTGCTGGTTTAAAGGTCGGCAGCTCAGGCAGAATAACCATAACTCTAAGAGTCTACACCCTTCGGAGGAGGACAGGGTACATCCGTTAAAATTTGGAACGATACAGAGTAGATTGGCATGGCACCTGCGCAAGGATGACATGCATAAATCGAGAATACCCATAACTATAACCCTGGTCCACGCCAGTCCCAGCAGTTCATAGGGATTGGCCTCGTCCTGGCAGTATGCAAGCCACATATGACACATTGCGCTTGCTGCCACGAAAGCGGGCCTGGGCCCAAGCGGGGAACCATTCCAAGGCAGGTCGCTATTCCAAGGAAGGGCGTAAAGGTAACTTCAACATACGGCCAGTCTAGTCATACATCGGGACTGGCCCAGTCTAGGCAGTACAGAAGCCACACATGAGACACCGCACAGGCTGCAACGATAGCGCGCGTGGGCCAAAGAAGGAAACCCTTCTTGGGTGGGGTGCAATTCTATACCCGGTCCTCACTTGCAGGATGCAGAGATCCAAAGCTCAGCCTGCCTTGTCACTGAATGCTACATGTAACTATTGGTAAGCAGATCACCACTTCAAGTCCTCGTAGATATAATAACATGAACGGATTTCACAGTTGTCATGGACCAGTCCTGGTCCCATGCTTCCAGTGTACCAATAGTCCCAGGCCCAACCATAGGTATGCGCAAAAGTGTCCGGCAGCTTGTGAGGCAGAGCCCAAAGGTCGCGGATGTGAGAAAGAGATGCAATGGGGCACAGTGGTAGACTCTAATAAGATAGGACGGATTGACGAAACAGCAACATGACAATGTGACTCGGATCTCATCTCACACCAAGTGCGTAGGGGTTCAAACATAGAAGAAACTCTCGCTGCAATCATGCACAGATGAAATGTGAGGTGGGAGACAGGAAGAAGAAGGAGAAACAGAACGAGAAGACGAAGGAGAAGAAGACTCAAATGTATGGTCGCGTCAAATAATAATGGTCTCTCCTCCACCTCACTCTCCAACCTCCTGTACATCCCTAGCAACGAGTCTCAGATCTCGAGTCAGGGAGCCTGACTCCCAAAGTACCAATGTCAAGTCTCCACTCTCTCTCTCTCTCTCTCTCTCTCTCTCTCTCTCTCTCTCTCTCTCTCTCTCTCTC